CATACTGTATTTTGAAAAAACTGAATCTCTGAAAAGTGCCTGTTTAAATATTTTTGCTGCTGGAATGGAAGAGTAAATTGAGTAACCACTTTGTAATAAATGTTCCATTGCTCTCACTGCTAACAAAAGAACGTGAGGGTGAGAAAGTGAGATGAATTTTTGAGCTAAATAAATAAATTCCTGGATCTTTTCTCGTTGGTATTTTTTAAAAACTTTTTTGACCCTGGGCAGGAAAAAAGATCATACTAGACAATTCTGCCTGGCTTTTCTAAATCCTAAGATGATTTAGAAATTATTGAGAACAACATCCTCACTTGTATTGGGGTTACTGCCACCATTTGGTCTGATGATAGTTTCTATTTAAGAAAAGTTTTTAAAGACTACTATGTCATCTAGGTTTCAAATAATTTCTCTTTCCATTTTTTATACTCTTTGAACATTTTTTAATGATGCTTTACTCTTAAATATTTAGATTATGTGAAGAATGCTACAAATAATAATGACTAAATAATGATCATGAGCTTTTAAATTTGTGGTCCCTGGCTTGTCAAGTTTGAATCTTGCTCGGTAGCTGAGATATATGTCAAACAGTCCTCATCCCTTGGCATGTGGCAATAAGGACTAAAAACATTTTTATAAGTTCTCTTGGTTTTTCAGCTTTACTGAGATCCAACCAATGGGGCTATAGAAGGGAGCCTGAGGTATGTCACAAAGGGTACCAATTATGGCCTCTCTAGAATAATGAATCTACCTACAAACAGTGTGTAGGAAGAGTGGGAGCATATTGCCAACCATTTGGACCATCTGGCATCTGTCCTATCACTCCATAACTTGACCAATTGAGAAAGGACAATCAAATCAATACCATCATTGCTTTTGGAAAGGTCATGATCCTGCCTATGACTCCTTTTCCTGAATCCTGCTCTCTCTCTTGCTGCCTTCTCATTCTGGAATATCACTCTCCATGTTGGCTCCCCTATCTCACTGCTGAGTTCCTTTTGAGGCCTCTGTTTAGGAGACGGGCCCAGGCCACTCAATCTTTATTCCCCTGTGTTTGCTTCTGATTGACATTTCTTTATCCACACTATTTCCATGCCCTCCTTTTTCATTCCGTGTGCGCACGCGTGTGTGTGTGTGTGTGTGTGTGTGTGTGTGTGTGTGTGTGTGTGTTTTAACCCCATTAGAATGTAAGTTTTTTTAAGGCAAAGACTATCTTTTTACTTTTATTTGCACTCCCAGAATTTAGCACAGTGTCTGGCACATAGTAAAAGCTTAACTAATGATTATTGCTTTATTGTATTATCTCTCACTATTTTAGGGTCCTTGAGGGCAGGAACTATTCTATCTCACTTTTGGATTTGTATTTCTAGGCCCAGGGCCTTTTACACACAGTAAAAGCCTAATAATAATGCTTCTTCATTTATTTAGAGAGGATTGAAAATGCTCTTCCAACTTCTAACTTTCCGTTGTTGTTCGACTCTTCTTGACTCAATGAAATACAGCATTCTAGGCCCTTCTATCCTCCACTGCCTCTCAAAGCCTATCCAAGTTCACGTTAATTGTTTCCATGATACTATCTTATCTGTCATATTCTCTTCCATCCCTTTTCCTTTTGTCTTCAATTTTTCCCATTATCGGGGAATGAGTCCTGTCTTCTCATTATGTGGCCAAAGTATTTAAGGTTCAGCTTCAGTATTTGACCTTCCAGGGAATAGCCTGAATTAACTTCTTTATATATTGACTGATTTGATCTCCTTGTACTCTCAAAAGTCTCTTTGGCACCACAATGTGAAAATGTGGATTCTTTTGTGTTCAGATTTCCTATAACCCAACTCTCACATGTCTGATTCTAACTTTACTCTATTTCTATCAGCTCCCCTCATCAGCCCAGGGTTGAAAAAGGAGTTACAGGAAGCATGAAGCAAAAGATGTATTGCTTTATCTCTTGGTTTTGTCAACTATGTTGGAAGAGTTGTCACCTCCTGGAATGACTACTGGAGTATAATGACTACTGGAATACAATATGTAGGGTGGGAAGCTGAAATGTTCAGGCCATGGCCATGTGGTCCTCCACCCCTCTCTTCCCAAACCCCTACTCTTTATTCTCCAAATTATTTTTATTTTTGATTATAACAACTTTTGAATGATGGTTCATCTGGGCCAAAACAGTGTTAAGTCCTTAATTCCTTGAATTTATGTAAATGTCCCCCTTCCAAACAAACAAACAAACAAAAGATCTAGGAGAGCTTCAATGTTTATCCCTTTATAAGTATGGCCAACAGGATAAAAAGCTGAGCTTAATGTCTAGAACACCCAAGTTTCAGTATTATCTGTCACATACTGGCCGGGTGATCTTTGCCAAGTCATTTAAATTCTCATTGCTATAGGCCACTCTTTAGGACTTCAAGTAACAGTGAAGTTGCCAACCTGCATTGATAGAAGGGATATTCTTTTCCCAGAGGTCCCCTTACATATGAAATTTCAGGTCTACTTCCTAAGCCACCCAACTTATCATTGTAATATTTATGTAAGGAAGGAAAGAAGCAAGCATGATTTACCTTAGAGACAAGAAAAAAAATTTTTAAAGGTGTATTAACTCCATTATTCTTCAAAACAATAAAATTGGATAAAATGCCTTGAATTTACTTAGTACCTGATTTCATATTCTTTTTCAATTACTAGCACTTCACATAAACAAGAAGGATCATAGGAGAATAGATTTCATCATGAGAGGGGCAGTTGAGGTTATCTAGTCAATCCTCTTGTTTTACAGCTGAGGAAGCTGTGCTTCAGAGATATTAAGTGACTTGCACACAAGTGACAGTATTTGGAAGAGTCAGGTTTTGAAGCCAGATTCTCTTACTATATATGAAGCACTCTTTGCATGGTACCTCCCATGTAGGGATCAGACCTGTTGAACTGCTACACTTTACTGTAGTTTGCAATATTTTTCTGACAATTTTCATTCATTTGACAAATATTAGGTGCCTACTATATGCAAGGCAAGATACTTTTACTGGAGCATATAAAGTATTTCATAAGTGTGTTCTATGGAGGTTACTTAATTAATCCTTTCTATATTCCCTTGCCTGCTAATTAACAAGCACTCATTAAGTACCTAGAATGAGTATTAACACTCCATTAAGTCAGTTAGGGATCTGTTGTTGAGTCATTTCAGTCCTGTTCACTCTCTATGACACCATTTGAGGTTTTCTTGGCACAGTTACTGAAGTAGTTCTCCAGTTCATTTTACAGATGAACAACTGAGGCAAAGTTAAGTGACTTGCCCAAGTTCACATAGCTATTAAGTGTCTAAGGCTACATTTGAACTCAGGTTCTCTTGACTCTAAGGTCAGTGCTCTGGGCCACCTGTTAACACTCCACTAGGTCAACTAGGGATACACAAGAATGAAAGATGAGAACTTCTGTCTTTTTGACCTAATAATGGGGAGGAGGAAAAAGAGGGGAAAGTATGTAGAGAGAGGCAGAAACTTAGAGATGACAGAAGTATGCCCTTCCTGATGGGTTCAGTTCTTTCCTAGGACACTAGCAAGAAATCCTACCAGGCCTCCTAGAGAGAAAAGAAAAACCCTTAGTTGAGTGGCATCCACTCTCATTTTTCAAATCTCTTATTTTTGGATAAAGGAGTTAAATGTTTCCAGACAGCGTGGCCCTCCCTATTCTACTCTTGGACAAAGAAAACTGATCAGACCCCTGCTAAGGCAGAAGATAATACTTGGAACTGAACTAATAACTAATGTTCAAATAAGGATATGTAGATACAATCTCTACCCTTTAAATGATCCTTTTTGTGTGTTTTGGAGTTTAAAAAATGGCTTCCTATTAATACTTTTCATGATTAAAAAGTAAATTATAAATGAAGCAGATTTTTTCCTTACTTTATGCATTCTGCCTCTGTGGAAGTTTGCTGGTTACTTAGGAAATGGATATAGGAGGGAATTTGATTGAATATGTTGTCAAACCAATTGTCAGAGTTGTAAGCATGATGGGGTGCTGAATATCTGTGTGTATGTGTTTATGAAATGAAAATAATGTTTGAGATTTTAAGCTTTACCAGAGACCAAAAGAACATGGGATGAAAATCAAAGTTCGCTAAACCTGAGTTAATAAAGTTAAAGTATATAACTTCCACTCCCATCATTTAAACATGTAAATCCACATTGATACAAGGATGACTTTAAAAAATGGACTGGTTGGAAACAAGTTCAAATATTTTTACCGTCTTACTTTATATCTTATACTAATTTGTAATCATGATAATAAGAGATCATATTGATTCCTCACCTTTTGGCCCAGAAAACCATGTTTTTTCAGTCTATTATTGTGGTCAGCCGTCTTCAGGTCCACCAGAGTTTGATGTGACCCTTGTTCAGGGGGTGATGCTGAGGTCAGGAGCAGATTGCAGGCTGCCGACCAAAGGTGAACTTCAGCACAAAACTCCCTGAGAGGTAACCTCTCTCTTGAACAATCTATAATCTTACTTATAACCACACATTCTATGCTTTTCTGTGGCTGCATAACTGACACACTGATAAGAGTTACTAATCATAATTTATATGTGTATATATTATACACATTCTTGTAAATATGTTTTCCCTGGTCAGGACAGAGTGTTTTTCATTCACTGAAACGTCAGAATAAATTCATGTTTCAAAGGTTGGCATACTGTTTTTAAATTATTAGCATAGAATTAGATCAAGTTAAAAGTTTTACAGTCAAAATGATGGCATCCATGAGGCTGATCCTCATGAATTTTTGAGGTTAATACTTTTGAAATAATTTTTTTAAATTTAAGAATGTGTGTGCACAGTTAACAAGCATCATGTATATTGCTCTTCTTTTGCGCATCTCTCTTTTATTCTTCTAGGTGCTATTTTGTTTGATTTTATAATTTCTCAATTTCAAGTATCACAAAGAAATGAAACCTACGTATTGTCATGTTATAGAAAACAAAACAAAACAAAATAAAAAAGGACGCAGATGTCTCCACACACATCTTGTAATACATGGTAGCAATTATTTGGAACAATTACATGTAGAGCTTTCATCACCATTGATGCTACTGATTACTACAATAGCCAAAGAGGACAACTGGCACACATTTGCAACATTACATATGGATAACATAATCAAAGGTAGTATTTTCAAGACACTAGAATTGAGTATTTTTTTTAAAACACTGTGGGGTGGGAAGTATCTTGGTGCATTAGTCATAATGGGGGACATGGATTTCATTTAGGGGTGAGCAGGGTGCTTTTATGTTTAAGTTGTACCTTTCACAGTACAAGATGCTTCAATTGTTTGTTTACAGAATAAAGTCTTCCACAACAATAACACCAGCTCCATTGTTATTGAATTATACAACCCACTTTTTACAGGGCATAGAATTTATGATTCTAAAACAAATGGGGATTCTTGTTTATTAAAGAACAGTTTTTCCACTCCCTTTCTCTCCCCTTTCCCCATGCTTCCACATGCATATGTCTTTGTTATATGGTTTAGGAGCTGCCTATAAAGAAGACCCATCAATTACTTCAGTACATAAAAGGGACTAAAGTACCATTTCTTTGTAACAATAATATCTGCCCAGTGGCAGGGGTGAGGATCGAGGACCCTCCACACAACCAGAATATTTTCTCCCTTCACTTTTAGTTGCAAATGGTTATCAGTCAACAGGCATTTATTAAGCTCTTATCATATAAAGGAGTTAAGTTCGGAGTGGGGGGGAGGAGGAATTTTTTTAAAAATGCAAAAATTATTTTAAACAATTCAAAAGAAATGTCAAAATCTCCAAAGCAGTTTTGAGTATACCTTTGGTTGACTGCTATTCCAGAAAATTTTTAGGTTTTTTGTTTTTTCCTTAAGCGTTGAACTCAGAAGACCTGAAGTTGAATCCTACCTGATAACACTAGTTCTTTTTCTCAATCATTTCACCTCTCCAAGCCTCAGTTTTATCATGTATAAAGTGTGTGTGGGGGGGTGATATCTGCACTACCTACCTCACAGGGTCTTTGTGAATCTCAGAATGCTGTGTAACTGAAGTTATATTTACTTTTTAGTTTTTTTTTCCTTTTCCTGTCAGGCTTTTTCTTGTCTAATTGTGAATCCCAGTATGTAGATGGTATTAAGGAAGTGAGCAGTGGCAGAGAAGTCTTTGAAGACTGAAGTTTCAAATGAAGATATAAGAAGGCTTTTCAAAAGTCTAGGTTGCAGCTGACACTTAAAAGAGGTTAGAAACTTGCAGACGCCCAATCACTTCTCTCCTCCCAATCCCCAGGCCCCTGGAAACTTGGAGGAGGAGGAGGAAAAGTCTCACCTTCTTTTAAAACTACTTGCAGATGTGAGCACAATTTCAGAATTGCTCACAACGGGGGTTTTGAGACTTCCTTGGCTATCCCCTCCTCCCTCCTCAACTTCCCCCAACGTATGTTTTTCTTTAAGAGGATCGGCTGACTTGTGTGTGGCTCTTACCACGCTGATCCTGGCCGCCCGGTTTAATTCGCTCACCTCTCTCCTGCACATTCAGGCTCTCATCTCCTCCCTGCTTCGAAATAATCCCGAGCGGGATCTGCCAATATTAGAGAAACTTTACTTCTAAGGCAAACCCACAAATGCCTTTTCTTTCACCACGTGAGAAATGAGGAAAACCAACAGCAAGATCTTGATGTTTCCTCCCGCCGCTGCAATGTGGAGTATGATTTTGAATTTTTCTTTTTTTACTTTCAGTTTTGAGGTTCGTAATTTTTTAGCAAAAAGTTGGAAGATCTCTCTCTCTCTCTCATTCCTTAAATAAACCGCTGAGGCTGGAACATTCTCCTCTCCCCCCCCCCCCCCCCCCGGGCGCTAACATTAACCAGCAGCGTAGGAAAAGAAACACATTGCCTGTTTATTTGGGGGGAGGGGAGCGTGCGATTTGCAGCTAAGTTATTTCGCTTCTCTTCCTACGCCCCTCAGGTCCTTGGCACTATAAACTGTTACATACCTAATCTTTGCACTGGTGAGCACAGACTTCACAGTCATCTTTAATCGCCACTAAAATATAAATGGAGATAAATGTCACTGTGGGAGTGTGTGGATCTGTTTGCCTAAATCTATCAAAAGAGCCAGATCGGAGGCTGGAGCTCGTATCCTGACCCTGATTGTATGAATAAGTAAGCAGGATGCTAGTGATTGGGTTAGATGCTTTTAAGATTTTTTTTTTTAAGTTAGGAAGAGGGGAAAATAGCTTAAGGAAAAGACAGCCCCCTACTTCCCCCCGCCCATTTCTCCGCAGAGTTGCTTCTCTTTTCTCTGCAGGACTTTAAGGTTTGCTTGGCGTAGAAATTACTTTCCCCTCTCTTTTTGTCTCCCCTTTCAGTTCAGATGTGCTGATGTGCATACCGGATTCATCTTCCAGGAGCAGAAGTAGCAGCAGGAGCAGGGGGCGGCGGCGGCTTGTGGTAGAAGGGCTCAGCTTCGGAGCCTGGGCAGAAGGAGCTACGAGTTGGAGTCAGAGCCACACCAAGCCCCGGGGGGCATCTCTTTCCTCTGGGAGAGGCCGTAGGAGGAGAAGCAGCCTCGAGAAGTTTGACTGCGAGTTAACCCGGCCTGGAGACATTTTGACAGGCAGCAATCGTGGGGCGCAGCGAAGACCCCAGTTGGACTAGGACCGCTTCCCCTCCTGTTCCCCAAGCCAGTTCTTCTCGCACCTTCCCGTCCACCTCCCTCCCTACCTGCCTGGCCACCCACACACGAGCTCCTTTCCAACTTTTCCTTTCCAAAAGGGGGTGGGGGCGCACACAGAAATCTCTTCTCCTCTCCCTTGTGTTTTCGTTTCGGAATGTCTCCAGACACCTAGCAGCCACAGTCTTGCCGAGGAGGATCTAGGTGGAGAAGAGAAACTGTCCTCCCTGCCCCTTTCAATCAACGTGGACAGTAGGTGGCTGATCTCCCAAGTCCTTCTCTTTTTTTTCCTCCCCGTGAAGAGGATGGGGATGGAAATGCTATCCCAGAGGTTGGTCTTATGGCTGCTGGCCTCGGCATTGATCTTCGTTGGGGAGATAAGGGTCTCCTCTGGCTTCGATTATGATTACACTTACGCTTTTCACGAAGAGGATAAAACCGAGACGCTAGATTATAAAGATCCATGCAAAGCTGGTAAGTGACTTGCCGCTGTCTCTTATGCTCAAGTAGCTCTCCGCCTGGGTTTAGTGTCCTATTTATTGCTTATTTTTGAGAGGGGAAACTCACCTGTTTCTTTCCCTCCCCTTCCCTGCCAGACGTTCTGAAGCAGAGTGGATTTGGGGACTTAATGTACAGGTTCAGGTATTTTTTCCAACTTCCTAGGACTGCATCCTACTCCCTCTCCACTCATACCTTGTAGTTTTTGTTTACCCTAGACAGCTCCGGATTCGAGACCTATAGTTAGGAATATGATTAACTCTCCTTTATCTTTTCCCCTGGCAACCCTCACCCTCCTCCAAGTGATGAAGCACCACGGTTGTAAAAGATTTTAAATGCCAGCACCTTAGATCTCTAGTTTAAGAATTTTCAGGGGAAACTTTTGTTTAAATAAGCTTGTAGTCGTAGCTTTGGTGCGGGATGCTGGAGCTGGGGACCCGCGATCGTGGCTGGTTTGGATAGAAATGGAATGCAGAAAAAAATAAATTGCTGCCTATACCGAGACATTTCTTCACTACTGCAGTCGTGGAGATTTCGTCTGCCCCAGGAGCATTTAGGAGATGTGTTCCCAGTGCATTACCTTCTTCGCATTAAGACATACCCACACAAAGGGAGAGGGGGAGAATCCCTCATGTTGTTCCTCAGATCTCCTCGGGGACCAGTTTTTATCGCAATTGTAGGAAGCCCTCTCTTCCCTCCTTCTGGGTCCCATTTACACTTTCGAGCGCCGCCAGTCCCTTAAGCTCCCTGGAGCCCCTAATAGCTCCTCGCTGCTGGTCCCAGTTTGAGCACACGGCGGCGCTTCCCTCCGGGCTGCCTTTCAGACCCAGTAGCCGCACGTGCCGTGGGCAGGGACCAAGTGAGGGAAGTTCCCGGGGGCTCACTGTCTTCACTAGTAGCAGCACTTCACCCATTCCCTCCTCCCTTCCTCCCCGCCCCCCACAGGAGTTTTGAGTTGGGAGGCTCAGCTGGTTGTGCGATTCGCTGCCAGGATGCGTTCTGGCGCGCGTACTACGGGGGACGCAGGACGTAGGAGGGGTTTGTGAGAGTCAGGTTTCTGGGATGACACTGATGTTTGGAAGCTAAAAAAAGTAGAGATGTGTTATTTCTCCAGAAGGGCGTGTTCCTCTTCCGTGCTTGTGAGATTTTATAATAATAATAATAATAATAATAGGCTGTGTATAGTGGGCAACGTGTATGTGCTTGATCACCCACCCAAGTCGTGAGCACAGCATCCCAGGGCAAAGGTTTAGTGCAAGCGCTCCCTGGGTCCTCCTCTCGCCCTCTCTTCTGTCACACTCCAAAGTCTGGCGTAGACCACTGGTGCGGATGAATGAAAGAAGGAGATATCGGTAGACAGGACTGGAAATTCTCTCAGTTTTTCTTTGGTTGTTGATATTTTGGTCTAATAGGTCTAGTGAGGATAGAACACTAAAAAAAATAGCCCTTTTCTTACTTACAGTGACAAGTGTTGGTTTTTTGGTTTTGCGCTGTCTCTCTCTCTCTCTGTCTCTCTGTCTACTCTCGAGAGCAAGAGTTATCCATACAAAGACATACTGTATAGACCAATACTCCCCCTCCCCCTCCCCCTTTGTGTTGTCACTTCAAGCCAAACTGACAATTGCCTCTAGTCATCAGGTGTTCAGCTCTTTTAGCAAAAGATGGTTAAATTTCTTGTCCCAAACTAAGTTTTCCTAGCTTTTTTCCCCCCCTCCTTTTCTTCCCGCATCCCTGTTTGGGGACATAGGTATAAACTGTGTCCAAAGAAAGATGCAAAGGAGAATAATTCTGCAGAGGGTGAGCAGCGGCTAAATTTGCAAACCCATAATCCGGCTTCAAAATCACTTTATGGGCTCTTTAATAAAGTCAGGTAGGAGTTTCGGAACATTGAAAATGTTGCACCTTGTTAGATGTTTAACTGGACTTATTGCTAACTATATTGTGAACTAATGGTTGTCTAGGAAACTTTTAAAAATGCTACCGTACTTTTCTTGTGATGGGTTGAACCGTCTCAACTCTTGAGGCTGAATTTTCTAGGAGAAAATATGGCATTCTTTTCAAATGGAAAATGCAAAGTTTTTCATAATATTAAATCCTTTTGTCAATGAAAGGGGAAGTGTCATAGCAGAAATGTCAAAAGGGTGGCAAATATTTCAGGGAATTCTCCTGTCTTAGAAATCATCACTCATGGTTTTATTTAGAAAGGAGGCTATCCTGTTTGGACCAGCACATTTTTTTTCTTCTATGTTAGGGCATTTGTAGTTTTTGCTGCCTAATCTTTGGATTTTGTGGGGTTTGCAAAAAAGGTAGCTATGAGTATTTTCCTGTAAATGATCAGCTGGGAAAGGATAGAAGAAAAACCTGACTAAATGAAACAGCTGGGAGAGTTCTTATATTTGTTTTTCCTCGATACTGTTTTACTTTTGGTAGGATAACATTGAGAGGTAACTGCTGGTGCTTAAAATAAATACATCTGTGAGTGGATAATTATTTTAGCCAGAAGGATGACTCTCACCCATTCTTTATCTGAGGATTTTATTAGCTTACTTATTTTGTTTGTTTTTGAGTGCTACTGCTGTTCTTTTGGAGTTTGTTGGAGCTGGGGAAGGAATTGGTCACCCTTTGGATTTCACTCCTCTGTCCCTGCTTCGACCCCTTTGTTGGAACGATGGGATGAGGTTCCTAGTCTCAAACTTCATTTGAAAACCATTGGCTCTCCCCAGGAACACTGTAAAAAAGATGAAGAATAGTAATAAAAGAAACTTTGGAAAATAGCAAACATTTAAAAAAAACAAAAGTCATCCAAGAATATTAGGAAAAGAAAATGGTATAGATTTATATTATGTCATATTTTTAGAACCAGTAGGTTTGTAAGTTAGTAAAATGGGGGGAAAGGGAATGGGAATCTAGGAGAGACTGTGACAGGCTGAAATTTAAAAATGGCAAGAAGGATCCTCTCCAAAATTTAACCCATAGAAATTATTCTGGACCCATCTCTTGAGCCTTGGAACCCACAATGGGGCTTTCAGTCTGTCACTGCCCGAGCACATGGCATGTGGGATGGTTTGTACTCTTCAGGCAATAGACTAGTGTTTCTAAAAATTGCACAGAGCTCTGTCATTGACTCCACTATTTATTACCTATAAGCTCCCAGACAAGTAACTTAAGCTTCTTCATTTACAAAAGGAAGAATTAGATGATTTGGAAAATCCCATCTTAGTTTATGTAGGTTTCAAAAGTAGGAATCCTTTTCATGGGAATCCCCAACTCAGCTTTGGCCAAATTCCCTGGACTTCAAGTTCTAATAATTAATTGGCAAAATTTTCACCTGGTACATGAGAAACGGTCAAAGAGACAATTTTTACCTTCTCCAGGAACCAGTGTCAGGTCCTTGAGGGCAGCAGCTGAATCTGTGACATAATAAGCATAGTCCTGATTGCCTAAATGTACTATCTGTACTTATGTACTGTCTAATTATTTGACCCTTAACTCTAACCAAAATTAAAATAAAAAAACAAAACAAAACAAAAACAAACCAAACTGACATGATTCTTCCACAGTGTTCTAGAAAAGCTCCAGACCAGGACTGTCAAACTCCAATAAGAAATGGATCCCTGCCTGCTGTAGATTGACTTAGAAAACCACAAATTAACATTATCTATATTAGGTTGTATTTTTATTCATTTTGTTAAACATTTCTTAGTTTTATTTTAATTTGTTTCCTGCTGCTCAGAGTTTTATAGGTCCATGAGGCCTTTGCTCTATGCTGATGACTTATTGTTGTATGAAAATAGTCCTATATTTTCAAGGGTTATGCCAGCTTGAGCTTAAACCTTAGGCTCCTGCTCACTTAACTATTCAACAAACATTTGTAGGGATACAACTACACACACACACACACACACACACACACACCCCACCACTACCACCACCACCATCAAAAACCCGCCTTCAGGGAGCTTACATTCTACCCCACTAGAATGTGATACCAGGAAAACTGAGGAGGGATAGAATACTCAGCAACTGGGGCATCAGTATAGGTTTCACAGAGTAGGTGGTGCCTGAGCTGAGCTTGGAAGGAAGACTAAGATTCTGAAAAGTACAGGGGAGAAGGGAGTACATTCCTTATATCATAGGAGATGATTTGTGTAAACAGCTAGTAGTTCAGTTGTGCTGGAATAGAATTCTTGTAGGGATGTAATATGAAATGAAGTTAGAAAGACAAATAAGAATCACAGGCAATGGGGAACAACTGAAGGTTTTTAGTGAAGGGAATAATATGGAGAAGCATGTACCTTAGGAAGATTGTTTCGGCAGGTACGTGGAAGATAGATTGGAAAGAGAATCTAAAAGCAAGGTGACCAATTGCAAGACTATTGGTATAGTAGGGATGAGAGTTGATGAAGGTCTGAAATGGGAAAGTGGCTGTCACCCTGCTCCTCATTAAAAGAATAAACACTCATGATAAAGAAGCTTAAAACATGTTTTGTTGTTTTTAAGTGATTTCAGGCATGTCTGACTCTTTATGAACCCGTTTGGGATTTTCTTCATAAAGATGTTGGAGTGGTTTGCCATTTCTTTCTCCAGCTCATTTTACAGAATAGAAAACTGAGGCAAACAGGGTTAAGTGACTTGACCAGGGTCACAGAGCTAGTAAGTATACATTGTGCCACTTAGCTGCTCAGAAAATATCTTAACACCTAGTAAGTGCCAGTGATTTAAGATTGAAGAGGTAAGTTGGAGACATGTCATGGGGTTCATTGAATGCTGGGATAAGGAGTTTATATTTTATGATATGGTAAAGGGGAAAAGATTTCTTAAATTGAAAACCTTGATCAAAGTAGTTTAATAGGAAGACTATTTAGGTTGTTATGAAGGATGGTATGGAGAGGGAAAAGCCTAACGACAGCCAGCTTATTTGGAAGTACTGGAGAAGGGAGGAAGAGTGACAGTGACTGTAGAAGGAAGGAAACAAA